ATATACAGTAACATTAATATAGGTTTTGAAGGCTCATTTATGACTCTTTCAAACAAGCTCAACAAATCATGGAATCAGAACTGACATGAAGGATCATCTGGCCCAACCCCCATAACATCCATTACAGAGAGGTCTCAAACCCAGGGCCCTAGACTTGGTAGGCCAACAACCCTGCCACTGAACTATCACCCATGAGATAATTTTTGGGATAAGGCTTTCAACCTTTTTTCATTTGCAGATTCCTAAAAAATTTCAAACAGAGGTGCAGACCCCTTCGGAAATTTCAAATGGAGGTGTAGACCCCTCTGAATTGTAAGTGCGGGTATTCATTTTTGATTGATCATAGTCATTTTTCAGTCACCCCTATGTCTAAGGGATCATCTTTTGAGGACCCCTTAGACATAGTCTGCAGACCCCCAAGGGTCCGCGAACCACAGGTTGAAAACCACTGTTTTATCCTAACTCTCATCACCCTGTTCTCCACTATTGTGGTAGAATCTGACTCAAAAGTTCTGCTCTTTTATGCCACATATGTACAGTGTGAGTTTCTCAACAAAAAGTACTTAAAAAAAGAGAATGCTAAAGACATGATATTTTGTGTGTTAAGTAATGTCTGGTTAAGCACATTATAGGAAAACATTGAGAAGTTAGGAACACACTGTGCCTTACCTCAACCTCTCACAAGAAAGTCAGCCTGCCTTTTTTCCCCCCTGAGAAAATGCTGGAGCCCCATGATCCAGACCATGGTGCTGCCACACATGCCTAATGTGGCACATACCAGCCCTACCTCTATGACACATCCTGGACCAACTCCATGTGTTGTACCCAGCATGCACTGGTTCCAGCCCTACACACCACATGCAGTGAGTGGGGCCCATCTGGTGCATACGCCACAAGTGGTGGGCAGGGCTGGTCCAGGAAGGTAGTAGAAGTTTTCTGGTTAAAAATGCATAGGTTTTCTTGTGACTCAACAGAATAGGAATACTAAATGTCACAGGGGCTTATAACAGGGTGCAGTACTTCAAATAATAATTTTAGTCACCAAGTGGAAGCCTTAGCTTGGAAAATTGATTTTTAATAAACTTTTCTATTTGTACTTCAGTTTAAAGAAAGCTGCATTTTCATTGGTTGAAACAACCATTACAACTTTTTCCAAACTGTCAAGATACCCTATACAGGGGCTGATCCAGTAGGGGTGCAGAGGTGATTGCACCCCTCCCTGACCCCACCTTTGATGCCTGCTCTATCCCACATTTAAAACAACTGCCTCACAGTAGAAGCATTTCTATTCAGGCACTAGTGAGGGAGTCAATGGCTCCCTCTTCATAGCTTGTTAAAGTCTGTGAAATGAAGAGTTTAGAAGAAATCAGGTAAGTGTTAACAACTCGTGCTCCTTTCTAATGGTCCAATAATCAAGCTAGCCTTTCTTCTGCAATTCTGCTGTCTGCTAGTTGCTCCTGTAATGTAGCTCCCTATTTCACAGCCTTGCAGGCTGATTTTAACACATCTGAATAAAGTGTGATTTGTTTTTGCTTCAAACTTAAACCCTCGGCTCCTAGCATATTAATAAACCTAGTTTTCTTACCTGGAAAAATGTTGTGTGTTATATGGGATGATGCATCACACCATCTGCATCCTACTTTTCAAAATCCTAGGTTGCCTGTGACTAAATATACTTATTTAAACAATTATATATAGCTTAATATTTTCAGGTTTAAAATCTTTAGGATGTCATGACGTAAATAGCTAATGTTTATGAACATTAGATATGAACCTCAGGTGTACACAGAAGAAAATGCCCCATAGTAACTGAAAAACCCTAATCTATTTAGTTTATCAAAAAGAAGATTGAGAAGTACAAGATTATAACGTGTTCTTAACAGGAAGAAAATGGCAGGTATTAATCAATTAACTGATTAAGCAAAAAACCCCAACATAATAAGAAATGAAGCCTAGAAGCTGAAGCCAAACCAATTCAAATTAGAAAGTAGGTAAATCAAATCAATTTAAATCACAATTTAAATCACTGGCTAGGAAGCCTTGATTTAGTCAGTTTTCTACAAAAAGTGCATTCTTGTTGTTTAATATCCTCTATTCATTTAACTTCTTGAAACTCTGCACTTTTAGAGAGAGGTAGAGCCTTGATTCTGTGTATACAAACTTGCAGAGACACAATAGGGCTAATGGGTAGGTAATCAGGTCTGTTCTCTCTCATCTCCATATACTGCTGTTAACAAGAATGTTATCTCTGGAGACACAAATCCACAGTTTGAGAGCTGAAAATAGGCATCATGGAGATGCTTAATAGGATCTTTCTAGACAGAGCACTAACTCCCATTTGGGAAGGGTAGCTGGGAACCCCATAGATTGGGTCCCTAATATAGTCCATGGCCTGCTGTGACCTATCTATAAAACTTTTCTAAAAACGTTACATTAATATATAGTCTCAAATTGTACATAATTAGAAGATATAATCCCTATTCCATGATAATATATTTGAGCTTTAACATATCTTAAATTAAAACTATCTTTATATAGGTTTAAAAAAAAAAAAAAAGCATCTTACCAAAAAAATAAAAAATACAATTAATAAAAAAATCTGAGTCAAATAAAAAATCCGTTTTTATTTTTTTAAATAAATCATTGATTTTTATTCACCCTGGTAGGTACACTTTTAAGTCAGAATGATTAACCATTGAAATAAATGACTAAGGGTGGATCAACAAGAGCCACTTCCACAGTGATCCCTGATAATAGTGTCTGACAGCTAAGAACTCCCAAATGGACAAAAACGCTAAAGCACACAAAGATATGGACACCATTTTTGTCATTGTCACTGGTAGGTATTGTAAGGACTTGCCCCCCCAGCAATGTCAGGATGAGATCTGGTTTTGGTGCCACCTAGATGGTTCAAGCGCTGCTCCTTCTCACCTGCCACGCCTTTGATGTTGTTGTTGGGGAAGCAGTTCCCTTTCACTGACCTGAAGGGGTCTCGGCCCTGGGGTATTTTCATGGGGCTCCAAACCTCCCCTTTACACCACCCTTACCATATCCTTGGCTTGGGTAGATGCTGCTCCCCACAGGTCTTCCCACACTGCCCACCTTGAAAGGGTCGGGTCTTCCTGGCCATCAATCTTCAGGGGTCCCTCGTCCTTGGGTTGGCTTCCCCTCTCCTGGGAAATTAAATCTGCCCTGTCCAGGGCCAAACTGTAACTCAACTGAAAATGACTGGCTTCTGCTGGAGGCCCCCAAAATTCTCTCTCTGGGCCCTCAGTTCCTTGGGGAGACTTGTCTGTCCCCTTAGTAGGCATGGGTACAGGCAACTGCCCTGTGCCCAGCTTCTTTTGGCGTCACCTCTCTGGGGCCCGGCTGACCTGTGGTCCTGTTGTCCTGGTCCCTCCAGCCGTTATTTACTTCCCCCTTCCAGGGGCTTGTGATCCCGTGCTCTGCCCGCTGCAGGGCTGTTTGGAGATGCCTGCGGGCTTGAGGAGCTGTCCCTAGCCACAGCGTCTGAGCTCCTGGTTGGAGCCCCTCTGCTCCTCGGCGGTGTCCCTTGAAGCTGCTGCACCTCAGTGGGGCTCCCTTGCCCCCGTCAGCCCCCCAAGGCTGCCCTCTACTTCACCCGTCTGGGTCCTCCAGCAGATGCCCAGCTCCTTCTTGGGGCAGCTGGAGTTGGAGCCTACCAGTTCCACAGCTGGCATCTCCCAGCTGGCGTTCTGCTCCTCATTCCTCGGCGCCAGCTCAGCTGGATGCCCAGCAACCTTTTGAGCAGCCTGCGCCGCTCAGGAGCCACACCCCCAGTGTTCGCAGATACACAGGCTCAGGCAGCTGCGGAACTGTTGAGCCTGCATTGGCATCTCCTTCCTGCTGCCGCCTGCCACAGCTCCTAGGGTAAGTAACGGGGCGCATCAGGCGAGGGTCTGGGACATGTTGGGGGGACTTCTGCCTCCCCTCTCACAATCATACAAAAGAAGATTGACTAAAGAAGTGGTAGATTCTCCATTCCTTCATGTTGCTGGTTGATGATCCCTTGAAAGCTGGTTACCTTCCTCAGAGATACAATTCAACTACTTGCTTCAAGTCAGGTGTAATACATTGAAATGTAGTGGGTTGTGATATAAAAGTTAAATCCAAGATGTCAAAGATCCGGCCTGATTGTCTGGCATGCATGCTGCATTCAGCCCTGGTGAATTCAGATCTGGTACATACGCTACATGCAACATCCACGGGGAGCGAGCCCCAGACACCAGATCCAGCACACACAGCCAGTCTGTGGGCCTGATCCAGCAAACAAACTGGACCTGCTCTACATATTTGGCCTGCAGAGCCAGATAAGCTCAACACCCCGGAACCAGATGACATAACAGCACTGCAGGTGTTTGAGTGCTGTTTCTTCCCATATCACATTTAGTCAGTTTTCAAGTAGTCACTTTCATTTATCCAACACAGATGGTACATGCCTGCACTTACAGAAGCCAGAAAGAAAACAGTACGGGCATTTGAACTTCATGTTCAACATTCCCACTGCTTTAAACACAAATTCCAGAAGGGTCAATTCAGTCCTCTCTCTCTGAGTAGATAAACTAAGTATCGTGCAGTTTGATGCAAGTCAGACTAAGATAAAATTAAAAAACAAATTGCTCTTTGTACTGAGAAAACAAATAAAAGCCCCTGGGACTTTGTAAAAAGAGATGGAAGGGTTGCTTTGGTGCCCTTGATTAAATTCTCTTTTAGTCATTCATGAACTACCACATTGTATGTCAATTAAGTGCTGTGATGGCAGTGGTTATATTTTGATAATACGAGTATAGGTTTGTGAAATGCACAGAATTTTCAGTATGTACGGCACAATTTAAATGTTAAACATAATGAGAGCATCTAAGGATTTGCATTTTAAACATATCTTAAGATTCTACCAGCCCTCATTTTCAATCTCACATTAGAGAGTACAAGTACCATGAAAGATTATAGGCACACACTGCAAATAACTGCTTCAAAAATTGACTTTACAATTGAACATTTATTTGGTGAAAATATCCTTCATGGTAGTCATCAAATATACACCTGAAACAAACAGCTCCATTTAAGAACAAATTAGAAGAACATCAGGAACATCTAGGTGATTTTTTCTACCTATTATACCTTTAAACAAATAAACATACTATATTAGCAATGCAGATGCACTGCACATTAAAAATCTATACATCGTCCTTTTCTCTCCCAATCTCCATAACGAGTAGGTTCGGGGCCCTTGGGTCCACCCCTCTCTTTTGTAGTAGGATTGATGCCATCAGGAAATTCTAAAAAGATAGGAAAAGGTACATTAAATGCCTATGAAACTGGCAAATACATATGATAAAGACTAACAGTGTAACATGTTTGCATCCCAATTCCATAACAAAATAAAAACCAACTGCTTTAAAAAAGCTAAATCTAGGCTTAACATTTTGTCAAAACAATTAAAAAAAACCCCCAAAACAATTCAGGGAGTTTTGGGTTAAATCTCAGTCATAATCATCACACATAGGTTCCTGGAGTCAAAAACCTACCACTTTATTTATGCAACTAAGCAAAGCAGCGACTAGATAGTTGAAAATTTAAAACTGCTATGACTCCCACTTATTTTTAAGAAAGAAATTACTTTATTCAATAGCAGCTGCTTGTACATAACCACACTAAAAAAGAAAAAAAAATCAACTCATTTTTATTTTTGTTTAAGATGCTAATTTTAAGCACCCAAGCATGAACATTTGACACAAGAAGGGGTGTACCAATAAAGATTTTTTGGTCAATACCAATGGCTGATTATTAATGAGCTATATAGGCTGATATTGATCCAATTGCCAATATGCAGCCTGGCAGCTTGGAGAGCAGCATCAGGCTGGTAAGTCTGGAGGGAAGAGGCGTGAGGAAGGGAAGGTGATAGTAGGGGTGCAAATCGAGGCCCCCATGGCGAGGAAGGGAGTGGGGCCAGGGCCGCAGCTCATTCTGGGGGCAGAGGGCAGCTTCTGCTGCTGCGTGCACCCCCAAGGTAGGCTTGGGGGGCCACATGTTCCCCAGATCTATACGTGGGGCCAGAGTGGGCTGTCTGCTCATGGCCGGGGGCGGTGCTGGGCTTTTCCTTGTGGGAGGGCCAGGCCAGGGCTATGCTTGGGTTGGGCAGTGGTGGTGCTGGGATGGGGGAGCTACCACCACCCCAAAATTAGCCGTAACCCTCCCCTCAGTAGCTTCCTCTTCCAGCACCGCCATGCCTGCCCCAAGCACGGCCCCAGACTGCCCCCCCCTCCCCCACCAGGAGCAACCTGGCACTGCCCCCGGCCCCAAGCAGGCAGCCTGTTCACACCCCATGCACAGATCTGGGGGGCATGTCCCCCCCATGCCTCCCCTGGGGGTGGTCACAGTGGCAGGAGTCACACTCCCATCACACTACCCAGACGAGCTGTGGCTCTGTCCAGTGCCCCACCCTCTCCCTCACCATGGAGGCCTTAATCTACCCCCCACCCTTTCTCTCCCACAGATTTACCAGCCAAATGCTTCTCTCCAAGCTACTGGGCTGCACTCCTGGCTGCATGCATGCCGTGGCCGCGCACATGCCTGCAGCATTTATTGACATTATCAACCATATCAGCCAAAAAAAGCTGATTTCTGATAATGTCAATTTTCCTTTTATCGGTGCCGATACAATATGAACCAGTGTATCAGTTCACCCTAGATATTTTGTGAAAGAGAAACAGTCAGAGGATTTTATACACTAGTTTTTACTGCAATTGATCATTTCCACAGTAATTCTACTGGATGACAATTGGATGTATAGAGCATCCAGATTCTATGGCTCTGGGTGGAGGAATAAAAACTATAGACAGACAGCTAAGGCAAAACATTAAATATTTACTCTGAATTCCAACTGAATCCATCATTGCGTCATTTTAAGATCTACATGAATTTTCAAATATCAATATTTACCTAAATCAAAGGCTTCAAAGTTAAGATGATGCCCCCTCCCACCTCTAATAATTAGATTCTATATATGGAAAATTAATAATTTAATCTAATTAGTGGAAGATCATCTTAATTCATCCCCACACTGCTGTGGCAGGGAAAGCCCATCCCCACCCCTTATTTTCCCCTGTGCCTACACCGGTCCCCCCAGCCACTTGTCCCCTGCCATGTTGTCCCTCTGCTGCCTGTGCCCTACCACTTGCCCCCTCCCCTTAGCTGCACACCACAGGTCTCCTGCATGGCCCCTCTTTACCCCCCCATCATGGTTTCTGCCACACTCTTTCAGCCACATGCCCCCTTCCCTGCTACACTAGTGACCTGACCCTGAGGCAGGTAGTAGCTCAGCTCTGCCTTTAGCTCTGAGCCTGAGGCCAAAGCTGGAGCGAGCTGCTGCCTGTGCCAAGCTGGCACTCAAATCTAAAATGAACCTTTTTTTCACGTGGAAAGAGGGGCACAATGCAGTCTTCAACAGCAGTTAGTTTGAACCCTTTCACAGCCAGTGCCAAATTGGAAGTACCTTTTGGTTGAGTAGCCAAAAACTGCTGCCAATTCAGCAGTTTTGCTTCAGCAATAAAGGGAGGACAAGCAAGCTGAAGAATAGGCTGTCCTTGCTTCATGCAGCTCTTCCTAGAAATATCTTTTTTCCTTCTGCCTTCCCAAAACAAGATGCGTCTTATTTGGGAGCATGGGGTATGGCAAAAAATAAAGCATTTTTTCCCTGACTTTTGGCAGTGGTACGCTTCAAGGCCTCAGCCCTGTAAGCATCTCTATGTTGAACTTCACTGAATTCAGTGGGGTACTGTGCAAATACAGCATGCCCTAAAGCAAGCTGTGTAGTAAAATCAGCTACAGCCCCTTATTTTTGCTTTACTAACCCTATTTACAACTGCACTAAAACAGACTAAGACCAGTTTCAATGCCAGCTACAAATATTTCACGGTCTGTTTCAGAGTGCTCCTCTTCAGACCAAACTCTCTGGTCATTTAGTAATTGCAGGCACAATCCATAACACTTACATAATACTCATTTATTATTAAAGTAAGACTTACTTTCCAGTGGTTCCCTTTCTACATTAGACTCTTCTGGCTCATCAAGACGACCTACTGGCAATTTTGCTTTCTTAAGCAATTGCTTGGTAGGCTCAGACTTTCCGTCAGTGTTAGAACTGGTCCTCCTCGAAGAACTGCATAGAAAAGTTGACCCTATCAAATGAACGCATTTAATTAAAGCATAGGCAGACAAGGTTATTTGGGTAAATCCAGTATCTTTTATTAGACCAGGTCAAATAGTTGGAAAAATGCTTAGCAAGCTTTTGGGCACAAACACCCTTCATCAGGCTGAGGACTTTTATATCAAATATCTGCATCACTCAATGTTTATAAAAGCTCTGAAAACCTGTGCCTACTAGAAAATGAAATATTCATTTTAGAACAAAATACTAGGAACTTCAAAGATGTACTTAAGCTTCAAAGTGCACTGCACTAATCCTGAAGTCCACTCTGATCTTCTGCCCGGTCTGCTGCTCTGATTTCTGCTTCTTCCCTTGTGCTTCTTGCTCAATCTTCCACCATGCTGCCTGTCCTCTCTAATCTACCATGTGCACCACACAGACTGTCCACGGTGCCATCTGTGGCATCCATACCACAGGATGGCCACTCTTATTCTAACTATATTCCAAATAACCCATGTTTTAATTTTCCTATATTTCAATGGTTTTCAACCTTTTTAAGGTCCTGGGCATCCCTCATAACTGTTTTTAATTATTTGGCAGCACTGCAATGGAACTGCCCATGCACCTTGTGTAGAGCCAGACCAGCAGGGACTGTTGCAAGAGCTCGTGCTCCTGCCTGCATTAGGGTTGGCTAACAAATGTGAAGCAGGCAGGAGGGCCCCGTCTACAGCAACCCTTTCCAGTCCAACATGCATGCTCTTCCCACACAGAGACATGCTCTCCTGCCTGCCTCAAGTTCATCAGATTATCTAATGCAGGCAGGACTGCACACTATTGCCCCCGTTCCCCTTCCCCCCAGTCTGGCTCTGCAAGAGGCACATGGGGCAGTGTCAACCAGTTGCAACACTGGTACCCACGCTGTATCACTTCTGAAAGGCTCTTACAACCCCAGCTAAGAATCACTTGTCTACATTATACATTTTGCTAGTATAGATCCACACATTTTACTTCCTCCAGAAAGCCTGAAATTCCTCTGCGCAGCCTGCCAATTTGTGGGTCTCGCCTCCTATAGGAACCTACTGGCCCTTTAGGAAGACCTTGCAGACTGTGAGGGTGGTCAACCCTGGAAAGGCAACCTAGAGAAACAGTCACATCTCCACCCCGGGACAATCTCAGCCGCTTGACTGGGAGGATCCTGCTTTGCGGCGGGGGCCAGACTACACCATCTCATGAGGTCCCTTCCAGCCCCTTTCCTATGGTCCTATTTTGCCCTCCACTTGAAGCCAGGAAAAAGGAACGGCAGATGCTGCAAGCGACCTGCAGTGCAGACATGTAGGGTCCCCTTATAACAGGAAAAACATGGAAAGAAAAGCTTTTCTCTCCGAGCACTTAAACGGTGATCTGGGGAAAAGAGTCTGGCAGCGCGGTCCTGCGGGGTCCGAAGACGAGTCTTCCCGAAGTCACGGACCGGACCACACAGGACAGGACGGAACGGGACCAGATAGGACGAAACGAAGCGGCTTCCCAGCGCCAGGCTCCGAGACCGGCAAAGCGCGAAGCACCATGCACACACCGCAAGCGAGGGGCCGGAAGCGCGCATGCGCACTCCACCAGAGCCCAGCCAGATCGGGCCCGGGCCCCAGCCCCAGCCCCAGCCCCAGCGTGTTACGTCGTGGTCACCTGGGCCTGAGCGCGCTCGTGCCCCACTCAGGGTACGCATGCGCACGCGATTCCCCAGCTGCTCGGGGCCCCGGCGGGCTCTGCAGGGACAGCCGTGGCCCCGAGCGCACTCTTGGGCCTCCCCCGCTCCCTCCCCCAAACCCGCCGCTTACGCGCAACTCCAGCCGCTGGGCGAAACAGCCGCAGAGGCATGGCGGTGCCGCTCGAGGCCAGGCCGAGTGGCAGGGCCGGGGCAATGCGCAGGCGCGGGGGCACTCCCCACGCGCATGCGCCTTTCGCCCCCGCGCAGCCCTGCTCAGCTGCAGGCGTGCCTTTCCGCGCGAATATGTGCAGACGGGGGGGATACAGAGTTCCAACTGTATCTCCCGCGCAGCTGGGCTTAGCCCTGAATACGGGATCGTCCAACAAAAATCTCATTTCAGAGATTTGTAAGGTTCGCACTACGATGAAATAGCCGGTGCTAAAAAGAAAGGAAAGCTGCAGGTTGAGCCCGCACGTTGAGTAGGAAGAGCAATGGTCTGCGGAGGCATTTCGTTGACGGTGGCTAAGGCCTACAGCTTGACGATGCTTGCATTGAACTGTCTGTCTGCTTTGTGCCGGGTGTGGCATTTTCCCTTCAGGTGTTTTTTTGGTACAACCACAGCTAATTTGACATTTAAGACTGAAACTAAAGGAAAGCCCTGGTCCCTATTGGAAATGTGATATAGGGTGCTGGGTGAAGACAGTAGAGAGGAGAACATGGCGCACACACAAGAAAAATGCTGATGCCTGAGGAGAAAGTAGTTTGGGGAGAATTTAGGGAGGCAAACTGAAGAACATGCCCATGAAGAAAAGTACAGATTTCCCTGACTCTGTATTACACCCTCCCTCAAACTGGAAACTAGCAGCTTGAACTGACCAACTGGGGCAAAATTAATTTTTAAAAAGTATGTTGGGGTTGCAGTAGTTCAGCACTATTTGTTTCTAAAACATATCTGCGCAGTTATTGCAGGCAAAAGGAAAAAGCAAAAGAACCCAGAAATGACTGCAGAACTTACTGACTGTTCCTGCTAATGCACTCACTTTTCACACCCTAAGAATGCAGTAAAGTAGGATAGATAGTAAAACACTTTTTTCCTACCTAAAATTCGTTTATGCAAGAAAAGCAGGATTAGGTGTATTCTGTGGATGCCAAACCAGCTCCTTGTCCTGAATTATACACGTTTAGCCTTTGTGGTTATGGAGAGAACTCTTATGGCATGAACTGAACGCATCCAATGCCCCTATCTCTTGGCCTCAGCAGAGAAGCTAAAAAAAATACTTCTGAGCGCCACGAACTGTCCTATTAATCGGGACCCAGTGGTCCCAACAAATACAAAGCCACAGAACGTGGCATGATCCCAAGAAGCCACATCATTCTGAAATTTCCCATTTTGTTGTGGCTACATTCTGGCATTTTTTTCATTTCCCTGCCCCTTATTTTATAGCAGGGCTGTCCAACTGGTGGCCTGCAGCCCGCCTGGTCCACAAGGAGTTAAGTTGCAGGCCCTTCCACCCCTCTCTTCCACATGGGTAACAGCAGCTTGAGTCCCTGGGTTCCCTCTCCCTCCTCTGGCTTCCATGCCTGCTCCCACCCAATGGAGAAAGGGGATCTGAGGGTCAGCTTGCAGGCACCTGACGCAGTTGCCTTGTTGGAGATGGTGATGGGCATGCTGCAGCAGGGGTTGGAGTACATCTGTGTGGCACATAGCCTGGAGGGTTCTTGGCTTGCCCTGTTGCAGCCCCCAGCTGCTTAGAAGTTGGATAGCTGTTCTATGGCTTTCCCGTTAAGGGAATGAGATTACACTGTATGTAGTAGTTTTTCTGTTTTGTTCCTAAACACCAGGTGGTTGGAGAGCCAAAGCTTGAGTCCATTCTCCAGCCAGACAGCTTAGTAAGCCAGATGGGTGGGCCGGTCATACGAGCTGATTGCCTGCAAACATTATGAATTCTAAAGCTGCCTCTAAGCTCCCCCTTCCCGCCTGGCACATTTCAGGATTTCTGAACAGGGCTGCTGGTACAAGAGAATGCAACGTTCCCAGGCTTCCCATCTGGGCAACAGAATGAGGAAAGAATTGCTGAAAATACATCAAAGTCTATTTGGTATTTCTGACTACAAACCACAGGTGTTTTTCTTTTTGCATCAGAAGGGCAGTATATGGGCAAACTGAAGGGTATTTCATGGCTATGGAATAAATGAATTTTGCCATGGCATTTCAATAATTTTTGCTGAAAATATTGGTGATTTCTGCTGCAGAATGTTATGAAGCTTTAAGACCTTGATAACAAGCAGCAGCACATGGATATAATTTGATTGAAAACCCTGTTCTCCAATTACCAAACGGAGGAGGGAGAAGAGTGTGTGAAGACAATGCTTTGGGATAAGAGTATGTTGAGAAATCTCCCTTCACAAGTAGAAATCAGGGACACCACAAAACATGGAGAGCCCACTCTCCCTCCCCCCCCCTTCCAAATCAAAAGTCCTTTTTGGTTTCAGCAAGTGGGTGTGTATTCTCTAAATCTGTTATACCAGATCAATTACCAAGTTTAATTCTAAAAAAGGATTCAGATACAAAATCAGAAACTCACCCAAACATGTAGATACCAATTCACTCTTTGTGCAGTTTTCCTAATTATATCAATAGGAGTTTGTGCAATAACAGGAGAGAATATTGCCACAAGAGTCAAAAAAAAAAGAACTGGAGATTTTATCAGAGAAGGTTTTGGATCTCAGTTTTATTTCTTTGTAAGGCTGCATATGAAGAAGAATTCTAGGACCTTGGTTCAGTGCCACCTCAAAAGGAACAGTTCCATTTATAATAAAATTACCAACAACTTATAGTTGCTGTTAGTATCTTGGGTTTGCTTTCATCCAATTACAAACCAGCATCAACTCTCCCTAAATTTAAGAGATCTCCCATGTCAAAGGAAAAGAAAGTGTAGCTTTTAGCTTCCCACAGAAGGTTCATATCTAAGGAGATATTTTCCAACACATTTAAGCAGTTTCTTTCAATGTGTTAAAAGACATTTTAAATCAATCAACATGAACCAGGCAAAACTGTTTTGCAGACCAGAGACCAGATTCAGTTTTGCAGGCACTTAAATAGGACTTAGGCAGAGTTTGGGCAGTTTTATTTTAAAGAGAAATCTAATTGGCCTTACTTAGCAAGCTAAAAATCCAGTAGATGCTAAACTTAAGGCTGCACCTCCACTTTGAACTGCAAATTTCTGTAAGAACCTAGACTTAGACCACCTTAGAAGCAATCCAGTTTCATCATGTAGGCACCTAGCTCCTGGCTAAGCATCTGCAATCCAGATTGTTGCCTTCCCCATACTAAAGTCCAACTTAATCCATTATTTACCAATAGCACTACATTCAGCCCATAAAGGACAGTGGTGGTTTCTGCCCTTAGGCACAACAGCTTAGTGATAAGAGCACTTACCAAATAAGTGGGAGACTGTTACATGTCATCCACAGCTTCAGGAAATTAAAACACACTTCCAAGACATTAAAATACATCTCTCACTTCTAAGTAACCATGCAATAGAGTGTAGCATGCACAGTGTAGTTTGGTCAAATGCAGACTACTGAACCTAACTGAGCACGTGTTTAGAAGACTAGAAAACAGAAAAATGAAAGTGCCCCCAGTCACAGCTCACCTTCCCATGAGACTTCCGAAGCATGGGTAAAAGTACTCATGCCCCCCACCCCAGAAGGCATGCTGGCCTGGGTGTTCACTCCCACCTCTGGTATCAGAGCCATAGCACGTCAATACCTAAAAGGTGACCATTCTACCTGGAATGCTAGGGCACTATTTCTGTGCACAACTCTGAATATGATAGTTGTGAACTGGTTCCTGGTCAATGACATTTGTTATGTGTGTCCTTACCCACAGACTCCCGACTGATTTTACACAGTTCATGAGCGAACCTGCCCAAACTAGATCATCCTCATCGGACAAGGTGTCTAAGCAGCTATACAGATGTTCCATCTGCTAAGTGAAGGTGCTAAGTAACCAAACTGGATATGTCCCAAAGTCCCCTAAACTCACTTTGATTTACCGATGGCCAAAGTATTTAGCTTCTTGTTGACAAACTCTCTGAACATAATTCAAATATTTACAAGATATTAACATGAGTGTAAAATGCATTTTTCAATTACTAATAAAATCAGCCATTTTCATTTGGAATGTTTTTAGGGCCTCAGTCTCCTGTCAGCATCATAAGGACTTGCACAACAAAACTTAATAAAAAAGTACTATTTAAAAGTGAACACATGCTACATTGCCAACTGTAGTCTGGGATGTTCATTTGAAAACTGTAAACTACAGGGGCAAATAATTTATTAAAGATCACATGAATATTGCACATCTAAATGTAATAATAATTAATAAAATTTCTCTACAAAATATATGAACCCTCCCAGTACTCTCAAACGTAGCAAAAGATTTCACTTCCTTAATTGCTTCTGTCAGAATCATTTGTTCATTTTATTAACACCAGATGCAATAACACAATGCTAAAAAGAAACATGCATTAGTTATACAACAAATTTATATTTTTCAAAAAAAATGTTCATTACAATTAGTGAACGCACATATAACCTCCTTTCCACCTTTAGTGCATTATTGTTTGAAATAGGTAAAAGGGGAGGGAGGAGAAACTGAACTCAATGCTATTTCAGCACCAGTAAAAAGTCAATAGACCTTTAACA